CTTCAACAACCACAAGATGGCAAAAAAACTGTGTAATCACAAGCAAGATAAGGAGTGTGAATATCAGGAACAAAATGAGTTCAAAGGTACAAATATGTACATAGAAAGTTGGGCTCCTGTGAGATTTTTTTGCTTCCTCTCTTTGCTCTGAAGTACAAGATGTAGGCTTAACTAAGCCCTTCTTCTTCAGTGTTGTTGGTTTTAATGAATTGTTTTATCTACAAGCCAACTCCCTGTAAAATAAGATCTATGAAACTGCTCAAAGAAAACACTAGAATGTTATCCTGGCAGGCAGAAAAATGCTGAGGGACAGACTTAGTAAAAGAACAAGCAACCTTCAGGGAACAATTTGCCTTCTCTTTCGTGGCTGCACAAACACCTTTGACTTTAACTCTTCACTGTACATCTAATTTGTGTTTGGAATATAAGAAACTTGCCTTAAGGTTACAGCAAGAATCCCCTGTAGGAGATAAAAGATCACCAGCAACCAATACCCAGATAAGCAGAGGTTAACACCAAGATTAACACTAAACTAACAACCAAACTGTAAACAATACCCCAACCAAGGGACTACCAATTCAGACACACAGTCAAAGAATAAACAACAGCCTAATCAAGGAACCACCAAGAAAACTCTCACCAACATTGACAGGGTAAGATGCTTGTAAATAAACAAAGAGCAAACCCCACTCACTTCTAGCACTGATGATGTTACCTCATTGGATAATGAAATATCTGCAAGAAAACAACCAAACTAGAGAGCATCAAGGACCCTGGAGAGAAAACAAGCAGAACATCATCTAAGACAGGGGTGTCAAACTGCCGGCCCATGGGCAGGATGCATCATGCCAAAACTGCGTCCACCCCATTGCCTGCAATGGAAAAAAGGTCACTAAATGTCACGTGATGATGTGAGTTTGACACTTCTGATCTAAGGGACATTACATCTGGACTGAGTTGCCTCTTATCTCTCTAAACTACACCCTAACTGACCTTGGAATCTACTTCCTTACTACATTCCATCAAATCATCAAAGGTTATCTACAAATTAGTGCTGCTCTTCTGTTCGTAGCCACTGTGTTGTTTTGCATATTGTAACACAGTTTAATCTCTATATTATTTTATGTCTTGCTGTATTTTAATTTGTGTAAAATGTATTTAAAATTGGGAATTATCTGAAGAGACATAGTGAATTGCTTTGTTTTATTTTTATGGATGGTAATCATCACAAGATTCTCTGGCTACAGTAAGCCAGCTGTAAACATTTAATGTAAGTAACATAGCTGACAGCATAAAATGTTTTAAACAAATGAAGTTCCATTCTTCTATATTGAGAAGGAGAATGATAAGAATTGCACTCAAATTCCCATCTGAAAATACTCAGGTAACATTATTATATGTTCATCTCTGACAAGCCAAGTAGGAAAATAAATAAACTAATCCCTCCTTTACAATTTTAAGCCATTAGGGAATAGAGGAAGCAAAAAATGTGTCTTCCAGGAAAAAAAAAAATCCTGCATTTCCTCCCCCCTCCATTTACCCTTTCTCTCAAACAATGTTGTGAAAACTTGCTTTCAAATTTCTATAAAACCCCATGAATAGATTGTGGCATTCTTATTGGCCTTAAAATAACTTATTTTTTACTTGGTTAATTGTGAATTAACCCATTTTTGAAGCTTGCATGGTGTTAAACAAATGAGCAGGGTTTGCAAATATGCAACGCTTTGGAAGAGCTCCCCAAGCATAAAACTCATCAGGTTTAACATATGAATACAATTACTGATTGCATTTTTTAAACCTTGGTCCAATTGTGGTGCAAAATCTGGATGAAGGTTAGATGGCAGCAAAGAGAAAACAAATATGGTAACCCTTTGCCACCATCTAGTGGTTGCCCAAAATCATGAAGGCCAGATCTGAAAGCTTTGTCCTATTAGAGATTGTCTCTATAGCCTTGTTAAATTCTAGACTTTAATTAAGGAAGAAAATTCTCATAATGATGCTATTCTCCAAGACGTTCAAGTCAACCACCAGCTCATCCAAGTCTATTTATTTTGTCAAAACATGCTGACATTCTTTGGATCAATAATACCATTCTTACAATATCCCCACCCGTTTTCTTATTTACCAGAAAAATGTCAGCAAACACATCTTAGACAATTTGTTCTTTAGTCAAACAGATAGCAATATGCATGCTTTGGCCAATACTGCTGAATAATATTAATTCTGTGTAGCAAGGCCTCCACAATTTTCCTTCTTGTTTGTTTCTTTGTTTTCTCTTTTGCTCTCTAGCTGTTTTCTGGCAAAAATAAGTAGCCAAAGTAAGTCTGTTCTTTGGGTTTCAGTTTAAACTGACTGGGTAGAGGTAATTTAATCCTGTGTATAACTGTGTCTATCTGGAGCTAAACTCAACTCCTTCAAGTTTATGTTGAAAAGGTCAGTTGTCTGTGATGTTCACACAGACACATTTATCCTTCCAACTGGCTTGTAAGAATAGTGTCCTCCTCCTCCTCCTCCTCCTCCTCCTCCTCCTCCTCCTCCTCCTCCTCCTCCTCCTCCATCATATGGATTCATCTATTAGAGCTATATATACTACACTGAAAGTGCAGTGCTTTGACTTAATCTTCTGAAACTAAAGTCATACAGTTCTGGAAAAGCATAGCTGCTTTAAGGTATTGGAAAGAGGTGCTACATTCTTGCCTCCCATGTTTTGAAAATTGATTGAATCGAAGTGTTACATAGCTCTATTAAAATACTTTGAATGTTTGAGGTATGAGAAATTATGTAATTTGTGAATAGCAAGAATGTGTGGGCATGTCATTCATCTCCATGCTTAGAAAATTCTGCTTGATACATATTCTTTCTTTTGTGGTTTGTTGTTCTTCATAAACTTTTCGCTGCATTCCTTATAATTGACTGAAACACTCAAATAAATTGAATATATCATCATTATTTAGATTCTAGCATGTATTTTCATTTATTTTATACCAGTTCCCAAATTAAATCATACACACATACAAACACATTGTTCTGTATAATAAAGTCTGATTCTTGGAGTTTTCCTGGACAAATCTCTGAAGTTTTCTTGGCAAATATCGCTTTGTCATACAGATGGGTTCCTTGTGGGTTTTTTTTAAAAATCAGACTTTTCAGCATATACCAACTTTTAATTTCCCATGGTATTATCACAGTAGCTACTCATTTCTTCCACTCTTTCACAATTAGTGTTTGAGCTGCTAATATTAAAGGAAATGCCACTCTCCCTGGTTTCTGTTTAATAATAGTATCATTCTTATTCTTCTTGAGTACAAATTAGCAGCTAGGCAGGATCTGGAGTTCATTATACTTAAAATGCTTGTAAGTATAGAGTATGCTTGTAAGTAGTAGAGTTGCCATCCTATCAGTGGAGGAAAGCCACAGAATGGGTGGCTTTCTTTGCTACATATATAATAGCCAAGTGACATCTAGGAAAATCATAGACTTTGGGGGTTATCTACAGCAACCTGCCTAGTGCATTTTGCGACAACATAATTTTTGATATTAAATTCCATGTTGGAACACCTCTTGTCTCCTAAAGCAAACTTTTTCAATTAACATTTAGCTGACCTCCAAGATGTAGAGCAAGCTGATTACTGACCTTATTATTGCAAGGACAAGAAAGAATTTGGTGGCTATAGACCAAGGGGTGGGCCAGAGATGCCAAGCAAGTTGGTTCATGTCTAAGATAGGAATGAGACCCAGGATTCTCCCCACTGATTTTTGATAAACATTGTTGATGTCTGCTTTAGGTCTTATATTATAGTTTTTCTGATTTAGATCTTACATGAGGGGCTCCTACAAAGACAAGAGTGTCCACCTATTTTCCAAAGCACCAAAAGGCAAGACAATGGTTGGAAACTAACCAAGGAGAGAAGCACGCTAGAAGAGGAAAAAATTCCTAATGGTGAGAGCAATCAAGCAATGGAGTAAATTGAAAAAAGAATCTTCTGGACATTAAAGACTGACTATTTGATTAGGTTATGGCATGCCTTCAGAGGTTGTTGGTACTCCATCAATGGAGGCTTTTAAGAAAAGACTGGTCAGCCATTTATCTGAATAGGGTATAGGGTACAGGGTCTCCTGTTCAAGCCAATCAGTAAAATGATTATTACACAGTAAATATGAATGATTCTGTATCAAACTCCAATTTATATCCCAGTAGAGCCCAAATATGTGTAGTTGCTCTCTATGCAGAAAATGAAAGACCTTGTACTATATGTTGATCCAAGGAATTGCTAACATTTTAACAGAAACAAGCAATATTTTTCAATAAAGCCCATAAAGTTTAACATTTACTGAAATTATTATTCTACAAAATAAACTTGATAAAATGAACAGCCAGTGATATTTGTAAAAATCTGATAAATTAAAAATTATTTGTGGCCTGCCTTCCCATAAACATTTCTGAGTAGTCTTCCAGAATATCTATTTAGAATTAACACTGAAATGCTTCCTAAAATATAAATCAATTGGAGGAATGGGGTGAATGAATTAATATTCACTTTAACAGCATTAATCTTACCCTATCAACTTAATGGAATTTTAATCCATCTATTAACACACATAGCAATCTTAGATATAGCTTTTAAATATTAGTTACCTTGTAGTTTGATATATATGTAGGTCTTTGGTTATTCGGGTTTTCTCCCGCGTAAAATTGGAATAATAACATTATTTATTTATAACAGAGTCAACTTGTAGGGGAATAGGTGGCATAAAATTTTAATTACACATTACAAAATAATAAGGACTTTGTTTATTTTATTTATTTTCCCAGTTAATGGTACATTTTCGGTACTTAGCAGACTGCTGAATCCCCCATATTAGAGCAATTCATCAATATTGTCAAAATGTTATCAGCACACAAAAATAATTTGTACTCAAAAATCCACCAATCCTTCACCAGTAACATCTCAAGAACTGCATATCTTTAATTGTTAATAATTCAATAATTAATTCCAAAAGCCACAGACAAGGTAGAAAATCGTAATGATGCCAGGTGTAACTTGACTGGTCCAGAAAGTAACTGAATTGTTCTTAATCTTGCTGTTGATTGCAAACAGTAAATTTCAACCCCTTTAATAAAAGAAAGCAGGAATACGTAATTTGCTTTGGAAAATTAATCTGAACTGCATCCAAAGCTTTTTCAGCATCTACAGTTGTTAATGCTTCAGAATCCAATATACAATATCTTAAACTATATCTAATCTATCAGTTAATAAAATGCACTTATCTCATCTATTTTTAATAATTCTGAGATACGATGGTAAATTCCCAAACTAGGCAGATAGGCAGGCAGACAGACAGATAAATAAACAAAAGAGTCAGCTGCATATCAGATTTGATATCTAAAAGGTGATTTGGAGCTCATAGAAGTATGACTATAGTACTTTCCTATAACATCATAATATTGCCATATAGTCCTGGGAAAAGACACAACTGCTTCAGAGTTTTGCAAACAGGTGTTAGTCTTGCACATCCACAAACTCTTAAAGTATATTTTAAAAATTCAATCTGAAATATTGCACATCCCTAATAGATATGTACACAGAGATGTGTGCAAGGATGACTAATGAATTACTCATTTTAGGTTATGTTTCAATCTTTTTCAAAATTGAAATGCAGCGTAATATGTACCATACATAGTAATAGCATGATTTCATGCAATTTTAGATGATGTTTTTTGATGTTACATTTCTATCCTAGTTTTTCTTTAGGAAATCTCACCTCCATTTTCATCCTTACTAGATCTACCCCATGATCTAGGCCAGTGGTTCTCAACCTTTCTAATGCCGTGACCCCATAATACAGTTCCCCATGTTGTGGTGACCCCCAGGGGTGTGGCCAAGTGGGTGTGGCCACCAATAAGAAGGAGTAGGACAGCTAGGGAAAAGGGAAAAAAATGGCGGACAGTGTGGTTTGGCGACCCCCGTGAAATGGTCGTTCGACCCCAAATGGGGTCCCGACCCACAGGTTGAGAACCACTGATCTAGGCTGAGATGTAAGAATGCAGGAACCAACTTCATCCTATAAACTTCCATACTCCAGATTGGATTTCTACTTGGTCTCTCTGGTAGTAATATAACACCCTAATCACTAGGTAGCCCTAGGCTCTTTTCTGAATGGATGGCATAAAAGCCCTTATTCCAGGAGAAAAACAGAAAAGCGCAAAAAAGAATAGTGAGCTTGAGAGCATAATTTCTGTGACAATCTGACTTCATTTTTTTAGGAAACCTTAACACTATTTTGCTATTGCTATTGAAACTTGTTAACTCTGATTCTCGATATATTGGCTGATGATTATTGTTTAATGGATTACTTTTACTTCAATCTAGTTGGCTGCAGTAACGGTGATAAATTATTAAATTTGGTGCAGACTGGCTTGAGTTTGCCCCAAATAGGAGGTTAATTTAGGACCAGATTGTGCATGTCTATAAGTAGTCAGAAGAAACAAAGTTCTTAGAGGTGCTAAGATAAATAAAAGTAGGTGAAGATGACAGCTTTGAGTTAACAAAGACAATCAGAACTGGGTGACTTCTGGAAAGAGAAGAGGACAGAACCAAACAGTAGAGCAGGGGTGTCAAACTGGTGGCCCACAGGCCAGATATATCATGCACAGGCCACACCCACCCCAGCTCTGCAAAGGCAAAAAATGTTGCGATTCATCACGTGACGTGATCGAGTTTGACACCCATGCAGTAGAGAAAGAAAGGAAAGGTACAAAAGTTCTGGATGCATTGATCAGCAAAGGTAGTAAGATATAAAGTATACACATGCACACATGCAGGAGGAAGAGAAAAAAATAGAAGCTTGGAAGAAGCTTGGCCTAAGAGCAGTGACGAGGATAAAGGAAGTCAGAAGAAGACACATGAAGGAGTTAAGAGAGAAAGCTTTAAGTAATGGGAAAAAGAAAGAGTGGTTAGATACCCCAGAAAACAGAGGGGGAATGGCTCCTTAGTATCCCTCATGCTGATTGGTGGTTTAGTAGCAGGCCTGCTTAAAATGAATTGAAAAGTTTAATAGCTCTTTGAGGGTGCTAGTTTCTCAAACCTGGAAAAATTCTAGTGTTAAAACTGGAGCTTCTTTGAGAGATCCAATCAGAGTCGATGGCTCTCATTCTACAACAACAATGAACATTGGGGTTAGCGAGAGTAGTCCAGACTCACCCAGTGAGTCCTGTGATTGAATGAGGACTGGAATATGGGCCACTATATTGGCTACCCTTAAACTATGATGATAATATATTATGCTATAACTGGTTTTGGCAATTAATTGTTGGACTTTTTCACTTGTCCCCTTAGGTGATCTCAGAGAGAGATGATAATAGACCATGCAAGGATAATGAAGAACAGCAGATGCTGTCATCTGTACAGTAGTTCTTCCTGATGGATTACAGTTATGATGAGCTAAAAGAAACATGTCACAAGAAGTGACCAACTTTGTCTGGGCTGAGAAGCTAAGGAAGATGCAGGAACTAGTTAGAAGAGACTTCTCCAAAATATACTAGAGCTGCTGGCTATACTGGGAAATCAAAAACCTATCACAGAACAAGGGTTATCTCCCAAAAATGTCAAGATAATTGCATGGATGTATCCATGAACTTACCATGAATTCAGCTTGACTTGAAGGAAACTTTATTTCTTAAAATAAACGTAGATTTAACTATTTAAATGACCTTAGTTTAACAGGCTTTGGTGTGTACAACTGATATTTTGTGGGGGTTGAATCCTAAGCTCCAATTAAAAAAGCCATGTGCACTAAATTAAGAGGTGTTGAGATTTTCCTGCAAATGACACCATTGTCCTCAATTACATAATTTCATAAATGATATAAAATCAGATTTAACAGACATTGAATAAAGTATCCATTAAGTTAAAATGTTACTGTATTTTATCTATTTAAACCAGAGATAAATTAAAATTTGATATAACTGCTTCAACAGTTATATATAAATAACATGTCTCTCGTTGAATGTGTGTGTGTGTGTGTGTGTGTGTGTGTGTGTGTGTGTGTGAGAGAGAGAGAGAGAGAGAGAGAGAGAGAGAGAGAGAGAGAGAGAGAGAACACTAAAGGGTTAGTTCAAGACTTTGGTAACCATCCATTTAACAGTTTGCCAACCCATACATTTATTTCTTTATATTTCTTCTAAAATTCTTTTCTCCCTACGCTCTTTTCCTGCTTGGTAGTTGCTTTTTAATTGATTTGTATACCGTAAATTCAATTTTTTAGAAAGGATATCCATAGTGATTCCATGCCATTTGAATATTTAAATATTTTTGCAGTTTTTTAAATTTATTTTTTATGTTTTGTTTTGTACCAATTACTTGTAATATTTTTAAGCATGCATGATCAAGGAAGTTATAGAAAAACAGACTTGACTAAGTCTGCTAAATTGATCAGGATGATTGATTACAAGGATTATCATGTTTTTCAACCGAATGAATAGATATTGGTACGCAATTACTGCTTAAAGAAAGGAAAAGGGACATAAAAAAAATCCTAAATTGTGCACATACTGATGGGATAAGTGATTGATTGGGAATAGTGTGGTAAAAAAACTGTCTGAAAATATTGATCCAGTGTGAATTAAACAAGTCAATAATGTAATACTTGTGTTAAATCTGCTTTGCAAACGTGTTTGCAATTTAAATAAACACAAGGATGTCTAAAGTTGGTAAAAGGGAAGGAGACAGGAAATAAAATTGACATAGGAGTGACTCAGTATTGGTTAAGTTTCCATTCTGCACTTAACCAAGTTATTGATCTTATTCGTTTTCCAGGTTATACAATAACTGAGTCAAACACACACACATTTTGTTAGTCTGAAAAGAGGTTACGAGAGAGAGAGAGAGAGAGAGAGAGAGAGAGAGAGAGAGAGAGAGAGAGAGAGAGAGAGAGAGAGAGAGAGAGAGAGAGAGAGAGAGAGAGACTATGTTTTGCAGTCTCTAAAACTAGAACCAGAATATATGTTCCACCACTTTCCACCTGAAAGTGGGACATTCAGGACAAATTAAATAAGTTCTGCATCATCCAACACATTATTAAGTTAGAGAATTCAGCTTCTACCACATATGGTGATAATTATTGCAGTTTGGAAAGGGAATTATAAATGTACACCTTTAGAGAGGATTAAGCTACCAGTGGTCCTAAACATCATATATTAGCTGCAGGATCAGTCTGCTTCTGTGTGCCTGATCTTAGCCATCAGGATATTTTTCCCCCAGTCCTGCATATTTCCTTAAAAAAAAATAATTCCAGAATTTATCAGACATGGAATTCATTGCCACTACTGAAAATGTACTTGTGATACAAGGTGCAGTAATACAGGTAGTCCTCGACTTACAACCACAATTGAACCCAAAATTTATGTTGCTAAGTGAGACATTTATTAAGTGAGTTTTGTCCCATTTTATGACCTTTCTTGCCACAGTTGTTAAGTGAATCATTGCAGTTGTTATGTTAGTAACAGTTGTTAAGTGAATCTGGCTACCCCATTGATTTTGCATGTCAGCGGATCGCAAAAAGGGATCCCATGAGCCCGGGACACTGCAACCGTCATAAATATGAGTCAAGCATCTGAATTTTGATCATGTGACCATGCGGATGCTACAATGGTCATAAGTGTGAAAAATGGTCATAAGTCACTGTTTTCAGTGCCATTGTAACTTCGAATGGTCACTAAATGAAATGTTGTAAGTCGAGGATTGAACTCTACTGAACAAGAATGGTAGCAAGTTGCCAAGGTTGAGAAACACCTTTCTTATTCTTTGAGTGCCTTCTAAAAACAAGCTTTGTGCTTCTTCTGGAATAACACTTTTCCAGAAGACCACCAAACCTGTGGGTAGAAAAAGTATGACTATTATCTGATAATCATAGGCTTTTAGACCCATCTAGGAAAAACACAAGCATGCGCCTAAATTCACTTCTTCCCAAATCCTTGTTTCAATTCCACCTTAAGGAAAGCAATTGATACATTTTCCTCCCTGTTGGCAGATGATGCTCAATGAGAAGAGAATGATTCTAAGTAAATCTGGCTGCTCCCGCACTGGATGTTTTTCAGAAGAGATTGGACAACC